AGGGATTGTGCATTCTTTCTATGACTTTCTACTGTACCACTGAGGGCTTGGCTAAGTGACTAAACCCAGTCTAACAAAGCAGAACAAACCTAGGAAATTCATCAGTGTAGGTTGGAGCTGGTCTGTGGTTGCTTTGAGAAGGGGTGGCATCTTGAGCCTCTGTGACACACAAGCTCCCTGGGGGGGGGGCATACAAATCTGAATCATCACACTGGGCCAAAGAACTCCTTAAGTGGCTGCTGGTAGGCTAACTGGGGGAAGGCACTAGGGACTCACACTCCTGGGAGCTTTAACTCCCAAGAAGGGTAGACTTAAGGGGGGCTATCTGCCATGGCAGCTGCACTTCCATGTTCAGAAGTGATGACATCACACAAGGTGACACCGTGTTTGTTCTTATAATGGCTGTGGCATATCAGCCACATCCTGGGGGCTCTGCCCTATCTGCAAAAAGGGGGTGCTGCATGTATGTCCCCGGAGGCAGAACAATGGGCCTGGGACGCGTGGTCATACAGTGAGTAAATACAGTCATGTTCACATTTAAGAAGGTGGTTGTTTTTACTTTGTGAGATACTTAATTAGGGGCTTTTGATCATAATTTGGTAACTAATAGTTATTCACCATAGCTAAATGTTTTTCTAAATAGAGGGGCTGTGGGATAATAGACATTTACAAGCCTAAGTTATGGCTTTGCCAAGAGTCTCTCTGCCTTCCCTCAGCATCTCATGGGAATGGCTAAAGTACACCTGATCGGAACACCTGTTCTAAAACTTAAGTGTAGTTACCTCTAGCTACATTAAATCCCCCATGTGTCCTTAATCTGCACATTCATGTTTCACTGTAGTTCAGTGGGAGAAAGGACCTCTCAGTTTCTAAGTGGGGACATCAGGTTCAGAGGACCCCAAAGTCCTATGCGCCCTCAAAACAAGACCTGTGAAGGCCACTTAGTACATGGCTCCATCATTCACTGAAATTTTGTCTAGATTCATATTTCTAGGGAACACTCTGAGGCTTGGTATGTTACTAAATAGAATACTCTAGAAATGGTACCCACTGGGAAGAGAGTGATTTATGTTCACAGTGATGTCGCCTGTCTTCTGACCCACTAAAATAAATCACATGAGTAGTTGCTAAGTAAATCTTACTACCCGTCAGCTAACAGCATACAGACTGCTGTGGCTCCCTGTTAGCCAAGGGTTAGTTGATGGGAATGCCCCAATCCATCTTGACTGCACAGGCAACCGAGTACTTATGCAAAGAGTTTTTCACATAAAAGGAAGGAAAGAAGAGGATTCGGGGAACTGGGCCAAAAGACTTGCTGTTTAGAGCACACGAGAAAGATATATTTGTAGACTTATGTGTGAGGAATGACTAAGGTTTGTGGGATTTCTTGACATGGAAATTCTGAAAATATGAGCATCAGACCTAAAATCTTGGCATAGAACTCCAACCCGGGTTTTATTAGTAGATGGAATAGGTCATGGCGGCAACTTCCTTGCAAAGGGGAGGGTGGACATGGAAAGTCAGAGTAGGATGGGGTGGGGCCCGAGTCTTGTGCCTGATATGCACCTTCTGCAGAGCAAACACCAGTGCTCTCATGGGGGAAGGACAAACTTCTTTGAGAGCTATTCCTAGACAGAGAAAGGGGAGAGTTTAGAAAGAGCAGAAAAACGAGCCAAGCTCCCAGCTGCATCCTATTCCCATCTTGTCTTTGCTCGTCCATTGCACAAACACATCAGACAACTCACTTCTCCTCCGTGGGCTGCCATGAAAACAGAGAACAAAGCCCAGCTCCGAGATAAATGCCATCACGCACGCAGGCCTGAGGGTGTGCTAACTTTGACGAGCAGCAGTCCTCATGACCCTGGCCCCATCACCAGTAGAGTAATAGGGTGGGTTGGTCTGCATGTCAGTCTTGGGATCTTCCCTGACTCCTGAACTATCTCCCTGAAGTTTATGCCTTCCTTATTTCTACCTAGGTTCTCAGCTTGTCTGGTACTACTTGGTACAAAGAGACACATAATTACCTATTAGGTGTTGCAACACTTTTCCTTTAAATTTATCATTATTTCAATTTATCATCACTTCTTATTATCATTATTTTGGTGCTGGACATGGAATGCAGGTCCTTTCCCATGAAAGGCTGGTACTCTCCCACTGAGCCGTGCCTCCAGCCCGACATCTCCTTTTGAGAGTACAAAGTGCACTTCTACTAAGCCTGGGAGACTTGGTGAACAGCTCTCCCTTAGCCTCTGTTGTTGATAATGCTCTAGAATCCCAGGATATGTGCCACAGGCCAGTTTGATGGCTCTTAACCTTAGGGGGCTGGGTGCTACCACCTTTTCTCTGGATGAGTCCTTTAGTAGTTTCTGTTCTCTGAATTGCTGGTCTCTGATCCTTAAAATAGTTCCTGTTTTAGAATGTTCTAACATTCTACACCTTTGATTGCCATAGCTGCTTTTCTCTATATTTGAGTGTGATGGAAGATAGATTTGTTGAAATTCAGATCATCCAACTCGAACTTTACCAAACTAGAGCTGTCAACTAGGAGCAGAGGGCTGTCACTCAGCCCTGGGTGAGCAGCTGCCGGGTTGAGCTGGTGTGTATGTGTGTGTGTGTTTGTATGTGTGTGGTGTGGTGTGTGTGTGTGTGTGTGTGTTGTATGGGGGGTGTGTGTGGTGTGTGTGTATGGTGTATGCATGTGTGGTGTGTGTGTGTGGTGAGGTGTGTATGTGTGTGTGTGTTTGTGTGTGTGTGGTGTGGTGTGTGTGTGTGTGTGGTGTGGTGTGTGTGTGTGTGTGGTATGGGGTGTGTGTGTGGTGTGTGTGTATGGTGTATGCATGTGGTGTGTGTGTGTGTGTGGTGGTGTGTGTGTGTGTGTGTGTGTGTGTGTGTGGTGTATGCATGTGTGGTATGTGTGTGCGCCTGTGTACCCATGCCTGAATGTGTATGTGAGAATGTCTGTTTGCTGGAGGCATGAAAAAGCACTTAACTGGGAAAATGTTGCTATTTCTCTGGAGCCAGAAAAAAAAATTTTCTCATCACATTAAAGCATGCCGTGATACTAAGAAAAAAAATGACTGCAAAATTATATCTTGAGGGTTTCCATATTTATCCACCCCCTGGACTATGAGTCAAAACAAGATTTATTTGTATAGTTCATTTTAAACTGTCAGCGCTTCAAGTTCAACTTGGAATGTGGGGGGGAAATCAAACTGCTATTTTTGCTCCCTGCTGTACATTGTCACCAAGGACAAAGATCACGGGCTGAGATTTCACTTGCAACCAGTAAGGGAGAAGGAAGTGGGTCAGAACCTCTCCAGATGAAATATTGTTCTGCTTGGAGACTAGAGCAACAAGGCCTGGGGAAGAGACCAATGCACCTATGTTTTAGGAGATGCTAGCCGGCCGGATGAAGAAAGCATCATGATACAGCGGCAGAGCCAGGGTTCCGGTTCTAACTGTACCTACAAGCTGTGGGTGCCTGTGGACAAGTCACTTCTCTTTGTCCTCCCAAGTGAGGTGTATATGTGTGTGCATACATGTGTGCTTGTATTGTTGTTGTTTGCTTAGCTCAGAAATGTTCTATATGGATTCACCTTTCCATCCATTTTCTACTTCCTTAATGCCTAGGCCTCACAATATGGTGCCACCTGAATGATTACAAAAACAAATCTGAACATGAAGTTGAATAAGTAGACTAGACATTGGAGATTTACAGCCTAGACTTGGGGAACACACCAGACTGAATTGCTGTAGCCAGGTCTGTGACCTCTGCCTGACCCAAGTCCCTTGGAAGTTCACTTATCTAGTTTGTCTATGCCTTAACACGGTGTGCCTTGTGCCCAACTTCTCTCTTCTCCAAACTGAGTGCTCAGATCTATTCTCCCAGAGGTGCTGTGAAGGCAAAACCACCTCATCACACGGGACACTCCTGTTCAGAGAGACTGATCCCCCAGGACTGTCTCTGCTCTCGCTCAGTGTGATGAAGGCACACATGCGTGCGCGCGTGGGAGGTGGGGGGGGAATGGGGCCTAGCAAATGGTACTAGGTCATGAGGCATGCATCCTTGGAAGGCCATGAGGTAATAATTCTTGTGAGTCCCTAGTTAGTTCTTTTTGTTTTGTTCTTCAAGATAGGGTTTCTCTTCATAGCCTTGACTATCCTGGAATTTTCTCTGTAGACCAGACTGGCCTGGAACTCGTAGAGATCCGCCTGCCTCTGTCTCCTGAGTGCTGGGATTAAAGGCGTGTGCCACCACCACCCAGCCCTGGTTAGTTCTTACAGGAGAGTTGCCATAAAGAGAGCCAGCCTGGCCCCTTCACTTCTCTTGGTCTCCTCATCAGCTTCCACCATGGTGAGACCCACCATGATGCAATATAACTAAGATGGTCCTGACAGAGCTAAACCAGCCCAGGCACCACCATGCCCTGGGTCCTCCTGAACTGTGAGCCAAGTGAGCTTTGCTTCACATACAATTTCTCCAGATATTTTTTCTGTAATATGAGTGCCAGAGTAACTCTCCAGATGTTTTCTTGGATAACAAGTCTCTAATAGCCTTCAAGCTGGAGGGACCCTCAGGACCTCTCATGTATACTCTCACTCTGTCATCCCCTGCCCTGCCCCCACCCCAAGGAGGTCCATGCTATGCACTGTAGAATTTGGGTGGGGACAGTATTACAGGGTCCTGTCCCTCAGTGAATGGTTGGCCCAAGAGTCAGGGCCAGGAAATGGCTGAGCTGAGCTAAGAACTGCTTTTCCAGAGAGCTCCATCTCCTTCCCTGAGTACCTATCTCCTCCCCACACCATCTTCAAGACCACATCTTTCCCATTCGTGGCAAACAATTGTTTGCCTAACTTCAGGTGGCCTGGGTGGGCGGGGCACTGGGAACAGCTGGCCACCATTCAGTTACTAACAAGGCTTCAAGCCCTGAAGACTGTGATTACAGCTCCCCCCACCTTCCTTCTCCAGGCGAGGGAGTTGGCAAAGTGCTCCAAGCTCTTTGAAAAAATAAGGTTCTCCGCAAATATAAAGTACTTATTATTTTCAGTTCCCCTCAGATCAAATTAGGTGTCAAGTTTTAATCTATCACCTGACACCTCTGATTGCTGGTTGCCAAGGCAGAATGACTTAGCTTTTCAAGAATGGGGGAATAATTGCATTTATGATGCTTCTTTCCCACACCTTCAACACACAGTCAACCGTTTGGCACAGCCTCCTACACTTGCTCCTGAACCCTGAGCCGTGGGACTGGATGCCTTTCCTAGTGCAGCCTCTCGGGTCCAGTGAGTGCTGGGCACATGGCCCGTCTTAAGAAAAGTCTTGGTCAGGGCTCAGAGGTGCTTTGAAAATGACTCAGAGCCTTGCTATTCTGAGAGTGGAATAGCAGCACTGCCTTCCTTGCAAAGTTGTCAGAAATTTGGAATCTCATATGCCTGCACCTGTGAGAGGGTCTGTCTTTTAAGGCCTTCAGGAGATTCCCAGGTATGGAGGACTTTGAGAAGCACTTATTCGTGGTAGGAACTATAGAGGCTGAAAAACAAAACTGCCTGGGCAGCTGAATTTTTGTTTTTTGTTTATTTTTGCTTTTTAATTTCTAAGCCCTGGGCTGGCCTGTCTATAGGGAAGGCCTTGCCTTTAGTGTTGTTCAGTGGAGCCCAGTGCTCAGGCACTGTCTCTTCAGAGTTCCTTTAGAGTTCATCAGCACTTTCTGTCAAACTTGTTTTAAAAGACAAGATTCAAACTACAAATTACCCATACTTAGAAGATTCCAAGTTAACAATGTACAATTTACTGCCTCAGCCTGGTGTCTAAGCCCACGGGTGACTCAAGGCTCCTATGAGGTGAGGTCCCTGCCTAAGCACCTGTTCACAGAGCTGAGGTACACCATGCTCAGCTGTGTGAAGGACCGCGCTCATACTCAAGTCTGCAATGATATCCTCTACCATTTCTTCCTGCTCACCAGATTCAGCCTGATCTCTAGAGACTAGAGCCACCCCCAGCGACAGCAGAGAACACAGTCTCCCGTTTGCCCCCATCACTGCCGTCAATACCAGACTTGCCAGCTCAGGTCTCGGTTTGGATGTGTGTGGATGTCTGAGGCTAGGGGAAGAATGAAGACTTGGAGAAGTTGCAGCTCAGTTTCCTCGCTTTGAGATGTGAGGGATTGTACTAGGTGGCGCCAGACTGACTACTTTCAAATGGAGACCCCACTGTCTACAGCATTGTTTGTAGATCTCCAATGTACAGAGCTGGAAAGAGCTGAGCAGATAGTACGGAGAAAGGAGAATGGGGGGCCCTGAACTGTGATCACTAAACCTTTCCCTGCCCTGCCCTGCCCCACTTTCTAGGGAATGTCAGCCTGATTCCAGGACTCCGAGGACAAAGATACGAAAAAACCTACTGGCTTAGATCATCAGCAGTGTTACTCCTGGTGCTGCCAACAACAAAGAAAAAGATCAGAAGGAAGGGGAGGAGAAGGGACAGGAGAAGGAGAAAAAAGAAAGAAGATGATGATGATGATGATGATGATGATGATAGGAGAAAGAGGAGGGAGGAAGAGGGGGAGGAGGGAGAGAAGAAGGAGAGGATGGAAGAGTAGGATGGTGACGATGATGATGACGATGATGATGGTGATACCATAGGAGAATTGTGTCATGAATTTCAAAGTTCAAATAGGATCTACCCATATATCATTTGCCGCTTTCATTAGCTCAGTAAAAGACAACCCATGGCATTTCAAATTTTAGTTCTTCACATTCAGTAAGTGTTTTAGGGACAGGAATTTTGAGAAATGGTTTGTGTTAAGCCACTCTCTCAGAAACTCTTAGATCTGCTTACATTCTGTCCTTTAATGTTCTTGGTAATGGGACTCATGCAGATTGGCAGCCGACCCAGGGCATGGTCCCGCTGAGTGATGCTGACGAAGGGGCGGATTTGGGTGGGAGACGTCAGACATCAGAGCCAAGTGGGAGGAAGAGCCCATGATGGGTAGGTGGAGCCTGGGATGAAGTTGTGAATGTGCCAAGAGCCACAGGGGAGAGTCAGGGAGCAGAGAAAAGTCTGGCAAACCCAAGACCTTCCAGGAAAGTGGCTGCTCACCTCCACGCTGCTCAGCCACTGCCGGATGGACAGGAAGGATTGCTTGGCTGTGAGGTCATACATAACAACCACGCCGTCGGCCTTCCTGAAGAACTGCTGAGTTACACAGCGATATCTGCCATGGGAGAGCCAGCGTCAGGTGCGTACCTTCCTTGGGAGCCCTGGCCTGAGACCTGGGTATGCAGCCCCTCACCTCTCCTGCCCAGCCGTGTCCCACAGCTGCAGAGCCACCCGTGTGTTGTCCACAGTGACGGTCTTCACTCGGTAGTCGATGCCTGCAAGATGAAACAGGCCTGTGAGAACTGCCTTGGTCATGGGTACCCTCACTTCCAAGTCAGGAGATGGTGCCTCCCTGTCTGGAACCATGGCGGGCAATCTTCCCTGAGTAGTACCTGTGGGGAAGTGTGGAAAAATGGACCAAGCACCACACAGGGGTCTTGAGACTTGAGTTCTGGTCCTGTTTCAGACCCCAGGACTTGACGACTTCACTGAACCCATCTTAGCTATGGGTGCCTTGCTATACCATCATGTACCTACTCTAGGATGCTGGATGAAGTCATGTCAGGGCCTAGGCACAAAAGCAACATGCAATGAGCAGATGACTACCTAACTGGGGATGACGACTGTCATGCTTATTCCATGCCTTCCTTACTCTGTAGCTTTCCCCTTTCATTCTTTTCTTTTGGTGAAACTGCTTTCAAAATGTCCCTAATAAATTCCAATGCTGAGGGGATGAAGCAAACTTTAATATCCCCATCAGATAATCCAAGAGGAGTTTGAAAAGGAGGAAGATGAATGGAGGAGCAGAGGGAGGAGGGAAGGGGGTTGGCAAATAGCAGAAAGAACAAAAAAGAGTCAGGAGAATGAGACAAAGGCAGTATCCACCCTCGGAAAGGGTCTAGGACTCTATCATCATGAGGCCATTTATGATCACCTCTTCAGTTATGTAACCCTCCCCAGGTTGGGCTACCCACAGGGTCAGGGTCAGGGTCAGGTCAGTGACATGTGCAGCCCTCAGAGCCAAAAATCCCAACACATGGTCTTCTAGGATTCTCCAATCTAAGGACTTCTCTGAGCTACATTGAAAGATGAATAATTGTCTTGGGCCACACATTAAATACAAGGTATGTACTATAGTTGCAAACATACTTATGTTTTATTTTGTGTGACATAACTTATTCTATACAAAGGTCATGTTTACACACACACACACACACACACACACACACACACACACACACAACACAGAAAATCAGGTAATGTTTTAGGTAAGTTCACACTTTGGTGTTGGGTCACAAACACAGCTGTCATAGTACACACATGACCCTCTCTGGTCATGGGTTGAACACCACACATGGCTCTCTGGTCATGAGTTGAACACCACACATGAACATGAACCTCTCTGGTCATGGGTTGAACACCACACATGGCCCTCTCTGGTCATGGGTTGAATATTACACATGGCCCTCTCTGGTCATAGGTTGACCCCTTTTATAGGCCTTTTTCTCTCCTGTGATCTTAAGAGTGTTTAAAAATGCATAAAGATTCCTAAAAGCCTTATTATTTATGGCTCCCGTTTGCAGAACTGGAAGGCATCCCTTTCCATTTTCACAGAGACCCAACAGTCCTTGCCCTGCAGGGAACGGGAGCAGAACAGGGAACAGAAACCTTGGCAGAGAGTAGCAGGAGATACTCAGCAGTTATGGAAGAAGCAGGAAGTGGTAAAGGTCACCCCAGGTCTTTTGCTTCACAGACAGGAATGGATTCATCTGGGTGAGAAAAAGAGTAGAATGTTTTTACTATATTCCCAATATTTTCGTGTAGGCTGCCATTCTTTTGGTGTCCTCAAGTCACCCATGAGGGTTATAATTTGCACACATATGCAGATACACACACACACACACACACACACACACACACACACACACACACACACCATGGAGAGATAAGAAATTGCAGTCAAGGTTCCTCCCTTCCCTGGGCTGGCAGCTAGGGTGAGGCGCTCCAGTCCATTCCAGCATCCTTACCTGGAGCAGAGGCTGCCTGAGGTTTCCTTTCACCAGGCAACCCATAACCATGTGTACCCATCAAAACATGACACTGCTAGCTGCTGAACTGGGGGTGAGTTTTCTTCTTGATTGAAAGCATAAGAGGGAGGGATACCCCAACTCTATGCTTTGGAGAAGCCCTATTTTCCGTTTTCTCACTACTTTTGAGCAACCAACTGTGGATACTGCACTGGCAGGGGCAGACCGAAAAGCACTCATAGGGCCTGAAGCCCCATGAACAGAGCTTTCTGTTGTTGACATGGAAAACAAGGAAAAGGCAAGTGGGTGTTGCAGGGAGCAGCTGGTCTTGGCTGCTTCTAGCAGGCCATGTCTACCTTTCTGGTTGGTTGATAGAGGATGGACAGGGTCTTTATTTTGCAGGGAGTGGGGTAGGCAGAGGGCATTCTGTGAGGTGGTGAGCTTGGTATGATTCTGCACTGGACTGGAAGGGCATTTCTTTGTCCAGCATCAGGCAGGCAGCTAGGGAAGCATATAAACAAGACCCCAGAGGCCGGATGTGCAGCTAGAGAATAAGGTGAGGATGGCGTGACAGTGACAGCACCCAGACACCACGGCAGGAGAACAAGTGCTTGACAAAAGAGGCAGGGGAATACTGTGGGGACAAAGGGCCTGGAACAAACGTTTTAAGGCCATCTGGAACTCTAAAGGTCCAAGCACCAGGAGACTGGGCCCTGCCAATGCAGGCAGCATGACCTTGATAATGTCATTTCTCCTCAGTTTTAGAGATTCAGTTCTTTGTGTGCTGAGGGGGATGGAGGTTTGAAGGAACTAAATTGGTATTTCATAATCTCTAAGTTCTGGGGGAACATTCCATGATGGCATTGAGATATCCTTCATCTTGCAACCCAATTCGCTGTAACAGTTGAAGTAAAGAAATCATGGGTTAGAGCTGAACTGAAGGGTCCCTGGAAGGTGATGTCAGCCTTTCTGGTGAAGACGGGCCAGGCTGTCACCATGCAAGGAAGGGAGGGGAGGGGACATGTCTACAAGTTGCCTGGCAGGAGAGCCCTAGCTTCAGGAATCCCCTATAGGACATGGGGTGAGGACCTCACTGGTGGTCAAGAAAGAACAGGAAGCATTCTATCAGGACATGCTTTTGGGTTCTGGGCTGTGATTAAAGCAGGGAGGTTATGAAGCCATGTGGAGAAGTGGGCCTAAGCACTGGGGAAGAAACCTGGCTGCCAAGGTGGTTTGGTCTCTGGTGCTCACTCTGACTGTGCCTATGTCCCCTCACAATCTGGCTGGATGTGAATAGACCATCTCCAAGGGTCTTTCCAGCTCCAGGGCTCCACAAAAGTCATCAGTTGGGTCTACAGATCCCCAGAGGTCCAAACACCTATTCATGAAGAAGCAGGCAGGGTCCTGAGGTAGAGTAGAAACACGAAAGAGTTCTACACACCATTTTCTCATGGAATGTGGGAGACCAGGAAGTGACCTCAAGTGACAGATGTGAGCCTAAAGAAAAGCCCAGTGTTTGTTACTGAGTGGTATTGTGGAATATTAGTTGAAGATGTTTTACATTTATTTATGCTGTGGGACATTTGTTTAATGATGCAAAGATATGTCACATTCTTTTATGTTGAATTTGTTTAACTCTGTGAAGCTGTGTTACTTTGTCTGTCTAAAACACCTGATTGATCTATTAAGGAGCTAAATGGCCAGTAGCAAGGCAAGAGAGAGAAACAGATGGGACTTCCAGGTAGAGAGAATAAATAGAAGGAGATAAAAAGATTGAAGAGCGATCAAGGGGAGGAGAAGGGGCCATCAAGGGCCAGCCACCCAGCTACACAGCAAGCCATAGAATGAGATACAAAGAAAGGTATATAGAATTGAGAAACATAAAAACCTGGAGGCAAAAGGTAGTCGGGATTATTTAATAAACCTGGCTAGAAACAAGCCAAACTAAGGCAGGGCATTCACAAGAAAGAATAAGTCTCTGTGTATTTATTTGGGAGCTGGATGGTGGGCCCCCCAAAGAGCAAAGAGTAGAAAGTTACCAACTACAGAGTTGGTATCTGCTGCTCTGGACAAGAGATTGGCCAGAGCTCTGGGTGGGGGTTGGTCTGCTGTGTGGCCTTGGGAAAATGACTCTTCAGTGACATAATACCCTAAAAGGAACTTACTTTGGTGGCTGGTATGGCAGCTGCTCATCAACTCACACATAGAGCAAGGCCAGGCACACTGGGCTAGAGAAGTTGCCCTAGAGAACCTGCTACTGCTCTGGTGTCTTTGTGCCCCATGATAAAGGACATTTGGTTTGTCCTCTTCCTAAATTGTGGATGTTTCCCGAAATGTGTGGTGGCCTCTGGGAAAGTACAAGTGGGCCAGTTTTCTTCTTCAATAGAGCATTCTATCTCAGGCATGAGGTTGGGAGTGGAACTTGACTCCACTGTCAGGAGAGGCATGTGACTTAGAGATGAGCCTGGGGTCTCAAAAGGCATCTTGCCTGTCACTATGGGCCCCTGATATAGCCCTGACTTGTGGGTCCCATACTGGAGCACCCTCTAGGAAAGGCAGTCTGACTGCCTCCAGACACTGCAGTACCTCTTTGCAGTAAGCACCCTGGTTTCCCCTCAAAAGATAGCTAGGTCAGACTGTCCTGGGTTTGCATCCAGTGCCTGCCCTGCTTCCTTTCATGTCTGATGCTTTGCATTGGGATGTCCTCAGTCTTTATGTGGAGTAGTGCGGGAGGGAGGGGAGAGGTGCCACAGTGTAAGAAAAGGCCTGCCAGGAAGCACAGGGCACTGGAGCATGTGGGAAGACTCAGTGGGTAAGAAAGGAGATGGAGGAGCCAGTTCAGAATGAAAGGAAAATGCTGACTTTCCCCCTAGGAAAGGCCCCGGGGCCTGGGCCTTGGGAGGTTTGCCCTGCAGAACCAGCTTGTCAGAAGCCGATGGTCAAGGGCGGTCTGGCCAGAGATCTGGACTTGGAAGCATGTCAGGGACCCATATGAAATCCTTTCTTTTTCACGTAAGAAAAATCAAGGGGACTGTGATGGTCAGTAGCGGATGAGGACCTGGGGTTTCCAATGTCCCACTGAACCTCCTCAGTCTTTCCTGACCCCAACTTCTGCCCACCTCAAAAGGCAGAAAAGGGACCCTACCATTCATGGGTTTCTATGTGCATACAATGTAACGTTGTTAAGCTACCGTTGAAAGGCTAGATGTTGGGGGGTGTGGGGGTCCTGTGGGGGTGCCAGCACTAATCATAGGAATGTGTATAGGGCTCCTGATCTCTCTGGACTTCAGCTTCTCAGTCTGTCAGGCTGATCACATGTGAAGACAGGTTGAAATGGTGGATATGTGGTCACGGCCAATGCTCAGATTGTAGCCAACCATTGTCAAGTTTGGTTGGCTCATCAGTTCAGCTGAAGAGGCACAGCAAGCATTCACCCTCATCTTTTGTTGAGTGACTCAACATGGTAGAAGCTACACTTTAATGCCATGTGCAGCTTTGGGTGAAACAATTAAAAATCTCTTTTTGAATAAAAAAAGTGGGGACACATTCAGCCATGATTATCTAATGGCGGCTGAGCCTAATCCACTCCTACAGTTAATTTCTGATGACTCCCAGCAGATCCGGGATATAGGACAAGTCAAGTCAATGTGTAAAAGAAGACTTGCAGGGTGTTTGCTGGTTGTACATGTATCCGCAGGCAGGCAGGCAGGAGTAGGCCCATAGGAAAGGTTGGGGGTGGTGGTCTTGGCTCTGGGGGAGTTCTCATCAGATCTGGGGAAGCATGAAGGCTCAGGGTCTCATTGACTGAAATGGCAGCAGAGGACTAGTGAGATGACTCAGTCAGTAAAGGTACTTGTTGTAAAGCCTGATGACCTGAGAAAAGAGAGAGCCAACTTCCATAGACTTCCATAGACTATCTTCTGACCTTCATGCTTGTATTATCACACACACACACACACACACACACACACACACACACACACACACACACACACACACACGAGTAATATATTCCTGCATACATATACAGATTATTTGCAGAAGTAGCATAAGCTAGGTGGGTAGGTGGGGGCTCACAGAGAGGACCAAAGACTACACACCCACTGTTGTCAACCTCAGCTCCCTAAATACAA